CATCTGATCTCTACAGTTCAGCTATATTTTCTTTTTTCTTTTTTCTAGGATTGCCATTTAATAAGATTTCTGTTCTGTAACTGAGCAACAGAAGAGGATTATAGTTACTCAAAAAATCTAGAAAACTCGACAAACACGTTCTAAAACAGCTCTAAATCATGAAGAATCACGATAGACGCTGTCTTTTATTCGGAACAATCACTTTTGTTCAACAGCGCTATGTTCAACGAGAATGAACGCTACTCACTTTGCGCCACCTATAAAAATAATTATCTTTGCAACCGTTCACACTTTATTGATGAAACTTTCCAAAAATGTTTAACTAATTGTCGTTATTCATTACCCAAAATTTCAGTTCAATCCGTCTGGCGCAAAAAAAAGTCGATGTTTTCAGCTCTCTCATAATGGTTCATGAGAAGTAGTTTTGAAAATAGTTGTCAATTATTCCAAATACTTTCCAGATATTTAAACACTTGGATCAAGTGCGTTCACCAAGGAGGTAGTTGTCTGACTTTTTTCTAGGCCAGAAAAGCATTTGGTCACTGCTAGATTGTTTGATTATCGAACCGATATTGAGTTATTTGCTGGAAGCAAAGCTCTCGTTTATTTGGAGCTTCCGAAAATGTATTAATATTTCGCTAAACTTAGGTCAATTGCAGTCAAAATTGAGATTTTTTCCACAAGACAATTGTTCCTGTCTACTAACACGGCCAGCGGATACAAGAGATTTATCAACACATTAAAACTCGTCTAAATCACAAAATGATAAAAGCCATTTATCTTTTATTATTATGCTATGAATAATCATACCAGAGCCGGATGAGTTCGAGTCTGGACGCACTAAATATTTTTGAGAACTCGACCTTCGATCGGAGATTTTCCATACCGAGTTCGCCGCCGGAAATACATTCCTATGAATATGATAAATATAAATTTTTTGAATTTTCTGCATAATGGCGACGATACTTCGTCTAATATGATCTTCAAAAACAGATTTCACTTTTTTTTCTTCGCTGGTGCAGAAATAATGACATACTTTTGTTATCTTATTATCGTGCACTCCACTGAGGTTTGAAGACTCCATTCTATGAAGAATCATTCGATAGAGAATTTTCTGCTCTACAGAATCCATTACCTTCTTTCATTACATATTATTTTATTATCTAAAAAGATAGTGTAGAGTAAGGACACGTAAAAAGTATAACTGCGATCGAAAGAACAGCTTGTATTTTTTTTATTTTCAACGTAATTGATTATTTAATAATGTTTCTGTTAGCTATTGATCACAAGTACTATGAGTAAACAAATCGTCTTGATTTAATTAATTCACATTGGAAAATAATATTTTTCCTAACATTCAGCCACTAATAACAGATAGTCATAAGATTATGGCGTTACTGATATACCTATTTTTGTCTGTATATCGTACGGTTCCAAGAATTCGTTCTGATTTCAGAAGATAAAAGATTTTGTGCTCTACAAAACCGGCTGTATCGCACACTTACACAGTGCCATTTGGCTAGTCCTTTTCCTGCATTTTTCAAAATCTCACGTTGCCAGAAAGTACAAATTAAATTATGCACTAAAATATTTACAATTTGAGTGACCAAACCGAAAAGCAGCATAGTCTGGATGACAGTTCTCAATCCTCTGAACATTTTGATAACACCCTCTTTTCTCAGTTATCATCTTATTTCTCGAAAAATCACATAAAAGCGAAAAGCCATCAAAATTATCGCAGTTATGCTTTTTACGTGTTATGTCTTTTTACGTGTACTCAGTAGAAGCTGATGTGAGGGCTTCCACGAAAATTATTATAAGTCACCTATAAAGGACTACTAAGAGCCGCGAAAACTCATTTTGTAGAGAAATATTTGCTCTTGAAAACTCAACTCCGAAAAAAATTTGAAGTTATTTGTCGCAAAAATGTGAGCATTCTAAAATGCACTAAATTCAGAAAAGAACCCTGTTCGAAGAGTTTTTTCTGAATTTAGTGCATTTTATGATGTGCATATTTGTATCACAGATAATGTTGAAATTTTTCTACTTATAACCCTAGTAAAAATCTCAGACACTTCTTAAAATTATCTTGTTAAGATATAATTAGATCTTATTCTTTAAGATTTTAGATCTTAATAAGATCTAATGACTCCACTTTCATTCACCCCTTTGTTTTGCTCTCATTCATATATATAAGTAACACCGAAAATATGAGTGATTTTATGGTCATTTTTCTTCCAGATTTGGCTAGTACTTGCTCTCTCGAAAGTGTTTAACAACTTTTTACAGAGCGTACATGCAGGGCAAGGTCCATGGTCGGACACCCGAAAATATGAAATTTCTCTTCATTCTTTAACACTGTTCAACTGTTGCTTTGGATAAAATGGATTAAAACTTCTCATCGAATCTCGAATGAATATTATTTAGAAAACGTCATCGTTCTTACTATTAAGATTCTAACAGATTTTATCCAATCTTGAAAATAGTTTAGGCAGTAATATCTTATCAAATCTTAGAATCTTCGAGTCTCACGATCTTAGTAAGATTTGTTAAAGATCTTAGACAAATATAAGCGAAATCTCACTAAGATCTTAATAAGATTTTTCTAAGATCGAGTAAGTTTTCCACTAGGGAAAGGATTGTAGTCCAAACATTTCTCTACAGAATCCACGACTCTGGGTAATTCTTTATCTTAGACTTATAACAATTTTCGTGGAAGCCCTCACACCAGTTTTAACTGGTGCATGCCCAATACTGAATCATCTTTTAGTATAAAATAATGGTTAATAGTTATATAGTTGCAAATTAAATAGTTATCTACATCTCTACATAAGATAATATCATAAAAAAAGATACTGGACTGACCGATTAAATCAATGTCACAACTATCAGTCAAACTTCATATGGCCAAATCTTTCTTATATTATTATACTTAATCGTGCATGACAGTATATTTCCAAAGTTCAGTCACATAACGTTTTCATTGAAAAAACTTTCTGCTATTTATTTCTTCTACGTCAATAATTCTCCTATATAAATTAGCACACAACATCATATTATTATTACCAGAAAATTGCATAAAGGACGGAGGATGTTTTCTTAAGGAATCGGTTCCCTTTCAAAATTTTCTTTTTCCTATCTAGAATATATTGATATTGAAGAGATCTACTGATTGGTGTATCATACTATGGAATATTATTACACTGTTATTATTTTATATTGATTACACTGATCACTATATATGCTGATAGTGACATACACGTCACCTTTTACACAATAAAAATATCATATTCGGAATCAGTGTCAAAAGCTGAGTCAAATGATGTACTGCTTTTATCCTATCCGATTGCTTTAGGCTGTTTGACTTTTACGTCGAAAAATAGCATCATAACAATTTTCATCAAAAATGAAAATTAACAAAAAGTTTGGAAATATATATCATTTAACTCAGTTTTGACGCTGATTCCAAATATGATATTTTTATTGCGTAAAAGGTGACGTGTATGTCACTATCAGCATACATAGTGATCAGTGTAATCAATATAAAATAATAACATTGTAATAATTTTCCATAGTGTGATATACCAATCAGTAGGTATCTTCAATATCTGTCATTCTATATGTAAACCATTATCAGAAGTTGTTCCTGAGCCGAAACCGAAAGCCAGCTACCGTTGCTGTGCGCCTTTTTGGTTGCTAACCGGACAGGAGAGGGATGACGGTTAAAAGCTCTTGCGTTCTGTCGGATGTCCTTTACTGATGCCCCCTTTAGGCAATTCTTCATCCGTAAGGTCAATTCAAACGGAAATGGTTCCTTATAAATCAGTTATATATTCTAGATAGGAAAACGAAAATTTTGAAACGGGGCTGATTCCTTAAGAAAACGTCTCTCCGTCCTTTCAAATAAGTCAATAGATAATTGTTGTGGTGAACTAGTGCAATGAATTTACTCTTTATGTGTAAAAATTTAAAATGCTGAAACAATTTTATGTTATACAGATAATAAAATCCATCTACTAGCGTGCTATAGCTTATTATGCATTCTTTGCACATGGTAAAATATTGTAAAGCGTTACTAGAGACTCTTTGTGTCAATGAACACTATAATGGCGTTCAGAACATTACAGTTTTACAATATTTGTTTTTCTGATTATGAGGCTTCTATTGTTTGAAACAAATATTCTGTCAAATTTTTCGGTTATAGTTATATACCTAAAGTGAGCTTCATTATTTCTTTCTTCACGGATAGTTCGTCAAGTTAGAGCTATCTCAGCAATACTTTGTCTTGTAGAACGTGTTCCGCCTCGTATACTATATCTGATTCTGTCAAAGATGCATTTCGTCCGTTAAATATTTTTTTAAGTTACAAATATTTTTATGACTTTCATTACCACACTTCTCACATTAAAAAATCATTTCTAAAATTAATAAAATAAAATATAAATCGTTTCTAGCTTCCGGTTTCTGGATCCTTACTTTTTAAATAGTTTTTCTCACTAATTTATTTCATGATTTATTCATTAAATTCCACTTGTTGGAGAGATCATTCGATTCAGGTAGCACGAATATGGCTCTTTCTTTATTGATATTAAAAGGTGTTTGTCTCGAAACGTTTCGGAAGTTGAAGTTAAAAGGCTGCTAATGGATCATTGACTACAGGGGTTTGGTGATACTGTAGACAGATGATCAGTGAAGCTAATCATATATTTCTTTAGAACTAAGACTGTTCGGATAGTATCTTATTGATGGAAAATTTTCAGTTTTGAATACAGTGATTCTTTGAAGTATTCGTATAGGAGAACTTTGAAGAAGAAAGATGTAAACCATTTACCAACTAACCATGATTTTTTCCCATCGTAAATTCGCTTTTGCTTCTATTTATAGCTTGAGAAGTGTCAACTCCTGTGTGAAGTGCGATTTTAGTTAGTTTTAACAAAAAATATCTGAATAAAAATGTATCCATTAGTCGAAGCCATAACAGAGATAAGAACAATCATACAATGGATGAACGTAAGGTTTTTTATATATGAACCATTCTAGATATCACTCTTAACTCATTGATGATGTTAGACATGAAATCTTACAGTCACAATAGAAGTAAGACAACTACTCCGTTAAAACAGAATACTGCATTGAAAGCAGACTCTACGCAAAGCGTGCGTCAAAGTAGACTTGATGCTGTAGCAAAAAGCGTTTCAGCTGAACAGTATTTCAACACAGTACCAACTACTCACATTGTTCCAACAAATGTGATCAAAGACACATCAGTTAGCGTCAAAAATAATGAGAAATCAAAAGCTATTGAATCAAAAGGAAAACAACAAATCAAGAAAGAATCTTCAGAAGCCAAGAGTCTAAAAAAGCACAAAAAGACATTGAGTCCTAAGAAAACATTCCTTAAAGCAGTTAGTTTACAATCGAAAGACCAGACAAAAAAGAAATCAGTTAAAAGAAAGAAGCTCATTGGGATGATCACTGAAGGTCAAGGAGATGCTAGTAGAGTTTTCCTGAATCCGCAATCGACAACCAGAAATAAGCAACGACGAAGAAGAACGTCAGGTAAAACAGGTTCCTCATTATCTAATTCGACATCCACAACAGAAATAATTGCCAAATTTCCAGATGTAGAGGAGCAACAATCAAAGACAAAAATACATAGGTCAGCTTCACATTCAGTTCAAGTCATGGTTAAAAAGGATGCAAGTCCGAACCAACAAACGCAATCTTCTACAGCACAGTTTGTGAAAACAGATGCGCCAACAGCAAAAAGGAAGAAAAGTATACGGCCAAAAACGGTATGTTAAAGAGACACATGTTTGTTCCCAGCGTGGTCAGAGTAACGAGACGCTCAGAGATCTGAAACATGATGCTTCAAACATCTCAGATTAAACAGAAAAGTGTACTAAAGATTTTGAGATGTTCCCGCAGTCTACACGTTCCTTCATTCAGAAACTATAATACAGATATAAACACTTATTTTTTCGGAAAGTAGGTTTGTATCTTTATTATAGTTTCTAAATGAAAGAATGCGTATAGACTGCGGGAACATCTCAAAATCTTTAGTACACTTTTCTGTTTAATTTGAGATGTTTCAAATGTCTGAGCGTCTTGTTACTCGAAAATTATAAGAGAAAAAAAATGTAAAAAACTCGTTCCGGAATTTTACTGCGGTAGCTGAGTTAGCTGGCCAAGCCGTTCTTTCAAAATGCTTGGTTCACACTTTGTTGCATGTTCTTCAAGAGTTGATATTTTTCAGAATAAAATGCATATAGGTAATCAGTGATGACACAAGAATTTTCTTTCGCTTACACGTCCGCGTAGTCAGCTAACTCTGCTACCGTAACAGAATTCCGTAACGGCTTTTCATCATTTTATTTTTGCCTACATACTGTTGAGTGTCGTGGGACATTTTAAACTGAAGAGAAAAGTCTGGTTAACATTTTAAGACGTTTTTCAGTCTTACAACATGTATCGTTAAGAAGTTGTAACCTAAATATTGGACACTAGTTTTTTAGTTCGAACTGACTACACTACACTCTAAAGTAGTCAGTGTAGGAATTGTAGGCAAAACAAAATGATGAAAAACCGTTACAGTAGCAGGGTTAGCTAGCCAGGCCGACGTATAAATTTGTTAGTACGATTAAAAATATTTACATAGATCATTTCTCATAAAGAGTGCCGTGGCCAAAGGAGGAGATGTACGTCCTTCCTGCTTTTGGAAAAAAATTTTCTCTTTAACAATCTCTTTTCCCCCAAAAATTTTGTTTGAGCTCTTGCCCAGATCTGGTAACCAATCTAATCAGAATTTAACAAACACATGCTTTCTTTCGCTTTGTCTCCCAAATAGATGAGAGCAAAATTTTTCTTCGAGTTTTCTTCAATGAGCAAAGAAGCTCAGGGTGATATCACACTATCATTTAGTTATTGTGTTGAAATTATGACGATAGATGATGTTGTGTTCTATAGTTTTCTTTCAAATAAATTTACACCTCTCCTACTTCTTTCTCTCGCTACGCCCCTGCTCATAAAGTAAAACGAGGATTAAAGAAGTATTTGTCGGTAGAGGTTACATTTTCCAATGTTGTTTTAGAGTACATTATCTGATCATGGCGAGGCAACTACAAGTGGCGAAAGGGATATTCAATTTCCAACAAAAACGAGCAAGAGTAAAGAAGAGAGCGTTGATAATTCTATTGTTTCCAAGAAAAAATCAAAAAGTCCCAAACAAAAAAAATCCAATAAGAAAAAACATATGAAAGGTCTGTCAACAGCTAACTCACCGTCTCAAACCGAACAATTAACAATAACAGAGTTAACCCCTATGTCACAAGATCATATTGTCGTCTCTGCAAGTAGTGCATCAGAAACTAAAACAGATACGTTACACACTCCAAAAAAACAAAAGAATAAAGAAAAACGTGGCAGAGTAAAAAAGAAAAGTGGTTTTGCAAAGAAACGAGACATTTCTAAAGCATCAACAAGCACCATTCGTGGAAACAGTATCCAGTTAGATGTTTCTACAAATTTATCTCCATCATCTACCCGGATGGCGACGGACGATGAACTCGACATCGCAGCGAGGAAAACGAAGGAACAACCAAAAAATTCGATAGTAATATCTAGCCGAACGAAAGTAGATCGAGGAAAAATTAGTAATGATGATGTTAAAAAGTCAAAATCGTCGAAATTCAAGAAGGCGAAGAAAAGTAAATCGCCGGCAGGTAGGTTATTCGAGGTATCTGACTTCATGTCACTCTTAGATAACCGCTGTCAGTTTTTATTATAGTTTTCTGTGTATACCTGCTGCGTTAAGGCTTACTATGTTTGCATACTTTAGGAAAAAATGTTAGGAAAGGAAAGAAAAGCAAATCTCCTGTATGTCTAGTACCATTGCTGCTGCTGATCAGTTAATAGATTTTCCGTTATTATTTTGCAGATAATTATCAATGTATTAATGTATAGTTTTACACTTTTAGAAATAATTAATATTAGTTTCAGATGATCGCTGTATTTGTGTTTAGAAATCTGGCATAAAAACTTTGAAGGAAGATGTTCCTTCGAGCGCTAAAAGAAGAAAGAAGAAAGAAGAAGAACGTAAAAAACGTGAAGATGGTATGTAAATAGAACTTGGGTAGATTCTTTTAGTCATACAAGCGGATTCCTGTGAAATTTCGGTATTAGTTTGTTCTATTTGATCTTTAGAGTTGAATTTTCTTCATCAATTACACTAACGAATAATTATATCATTTTTTTAAAACGTTTTATCTCTGTATATAATTTAATGTATATAAATCAAAACTTGTATAATTTGTTGAAAAAGCAATCGTTTAGTACTGACTTTGGAATCCACAAGCGCCTGAAAATGGACTATTCTTGTTTCATCTACACTAATTTCTTGCTTGATTCGTCGACACTATGGTTTTAATCAATTAAGCTTGATTCTTGTTTCATCGACACTTTTTTTATCCGTTGTAACACATGGAATTATAGCTGTAATTATAAAAATGTATACTACAATTTTAAATTTGAAAAAAGTTGATAAAATTCAATAAAAAAGATTAACTGAGCAATGGATTTCTTTATCAAAACTAATAGTGTACTGAAAACAGTTGTAGTTAATAATAAAAAATGTATAAATATACCAAAATGATCATGCATATAATATAGCCTTGAAAAAAAATTGTACAAAGCAAAATAGTTTGCGACGCGTTAGAAATTACATGTTAATCGTAACCATCGTGTACATTATTTAGAAGATAGATATAAACAAAATAGTATAAATTTAAATGACTTTTTGTGTAAGGTATCAAAAACAATAGATGTTAAAAATTTTAATCTTTTTGTCAAATGTTTTTCACGACTATATTGTATGCATGATCATTTTGAAATAAAAACCTTATAATTGTAAATAGAATTTCATGTTTTACAACAGATAAAAAAGTGTCGACGAAACAAAAATCAAGCTTAAGCGATTAAAACCATAGTGTCGACGAATCAAGATAAAAAAAGTGTCGATGAATCGGGCAAGAAATTACTGTCGACGAAACAAGAATGGATCCCTAAAAACAGCTCTTTATGCCATTTGGACACGCTGTTTATGTGTCGTAATATAAAGCACGTGTATGCATTATAATGAAGTAGGTTTTAATGTAATTCAAACACGAAACATGAGAGTAGTTTAAAAACATTTCATCAGATCACTCACCTACTGGATTCTCTAGACGACAACACATTAAAAGAAAACACATACAATACAATGATCTTGATTTTTTAGAAGAAGCCCGTGTAAAAGCTGAAATAACCGAAAAAGAACGTATTGAAAATGTAAAACGTATTACAGAAGAAAAAGCTAGTTTGGCCAAAGAGGTATTTAAAACCCAGTTTGAGTAAACATTTGATTGTTTCACATTATTAATTTAGGTAAATAAACTTCGTCGTCAAGAATTAAGCGAATTTTATGAATTTATTAAACCTCTTCGTGAAGAAGCGCATCAAATTAGAATAAGAGAACGAGAAGATTTCAAAGTAAATGAATGTCGAATTGAGATATAGATGATGATGATTTTTTGTTTTTATTTCTGTTAGTGGAAGCGTGTAATGCAATGTGATGGAACGCTAGGTATATGTGATTCATGTATATTGATGCTCACTCATGAGTTCTTGTCTGTATGATAGATCCTACTGTCCTATCGGAAGTCAATACGTATATGTCACTATGGCGAGACGAACAAAAAAATACAGATGTCGAATATACCATGGAACAAACAAATTTAGTACTCTCGGTTAGATTCAGCTTCTCTATGAATCTATTTTTATAATATGTTCCGCTCTTGCTTCCCCTAGTAAAAATCTCAGACACTTCTTAAAATTATCTTGTTAAGATATAATTAGATCTTATTCTTTAAGATTTTGATAAGATAATCTAAGATCTTAATAAGATCTAATGACTCCACTTTCATTCACCCCTTTGTTTTGCTTTCATTCATATATATAAGTAACCGAAAATATGAGTGATTTTATGGTCATTTTTCTTCCAGATTTGGCTAGTACTTGCTCTCTCGAAAGTGTTTAACAACTTTTTACAGAGCGTACATGCAGGGCAAGGTCCATGGTCGGACACCCGAAAATATGAAATTTCTCTTCATTCTTTAACACTGTTCAACTGTTGCTTTGGATAAAATGGATTAAAACTTCTCATCGAATCTCGAATGAATATTATTTAGAAAACGTCATCGTTCTTACTATTAAGATTCTAACAGATTTTATCCAATCTTGAAAATAGTTTAGGCAGTAATATCTTATCAAATCTTAGAATCTTCGAGTCTCACGATCTTAGTAAGATTTGTTAAAGATCTTAGACAAATGTAAATCTTAATAAGATTCTAGTAAGTTTCTCACTAGGGTTACCACTTTAGTTAATCAATGAATTGGATATCGTTATTAATTCAATTCTGAATGGATCACAAGAAATTGACCGTATTCCTATTTATAAACAGGTGTATATCTCTGATATCTATCTTTAGACGATTAAAGCCTAAGTTTTATTTTAGACTATTAATGACCTTGAAGATATTTTACAATTCAAATGGTTAAAAGCCATTCATGATATTATGTTAAAAGCGACAGATTTACAAGATATGGAAACAAATAATTTCCAATATACAACCAAAAATCAAAATGTGACACTTTGTGTATGGGCCAATCTAAGTCATAATCCAAGGTAAGTAATTAGTACTCTCTTCTTAACATTCTCTTCTGTCTGTAATCATTCCTTTCTTTTCAGAGTGAAAAGTTTCACTTTTGATACGTTTAATTTTGGTTTCGATCTGCCAAAATCGTTATCACTAGCAAATATAGCTATTGTAGGGCTTTTTCTAGAACATGATTATTATTCAGAACGCTCACTTTTATCTAAATGTCGAACGAAAGCACCAGAATACGAATATGGTTAGTATTCTTCAATAGGCAGAATTCTTCTTCATTGAACGATATAAGTGCGCATCCGAGACAATAGCTAGAAAATCTAGTTTTTCACTATACTTTGTCTTTCGTGTCTGTCTATTAAAGATTCCATACCAGAGGCTCTTATTGAAGAAATACCAGCTGAAGAAGATCAAAATTTTCCAAATGAAAGTGTATTTGATACGAATCTATCATTAAAATTAAAAAAAGTAATGAAACAAATAAGACGAGTAAAGTTCTAAAAAGCTATTAGACAGAAGGCTTGTGACATTGCAGTTTGTTCTCGTTAATATTTTGTCACTGCTTTAGAAAGACGAAGCTGATATTATGTTGTCTAGAAATACAACATTTGAACAAGCAACAATAATAACTGAAGAAGAAAGAACTAGCAGTCAACGTTCAGCAACAGAATTTAGCACACCACAATCTCCTTCAAATCACGATAAATTACGCAATAGTAAGATATAGACTTTTTCATAGATTAGAACATTATTTGATGCTGTCATGTAGGTACAGCTGATCAAATCCTTAAAGAATTAGCTGATGAAACCGTTGTGGATTTACGCTCATACTGGCCACTGTTACCACTAGTAAAAATCGATCTTACTCATATACCTCCACAACCCAAAAAATTACAAGAATGGACCATTGTTCCAGGTTTGAAATATTTTCTATATGTAACAATGCCATTAGCTTTTTAAGTGTACTTGTTTTTTTAGTTGATAATAATGATATTCTTGTCTCGTATCTTTATCCAAGTGATCCAATGATAGCTGAAAGATTTTATGAAGATTTTGTTAATAAAAATAAGTCGTCGGATTATTCGATAAAAAAAGATGATGATAAGGTTTAACATATACGGGGTTTGTTCTTATAATTGGTTCTTGTAATTGGTTTTAGAGTATAAAAGATACAGAAGACACATTAATAGATCCATCAACGACGTTTGATGCAACAATGACTGAAAATAATTCAGAAATCCGAAAATTGTTTGTAGTAGCTGCATCCAAAAATGAAACACCCGTGCTTATTAAATTCAAGTAAAAATACTTATATGGTTACGTTGAAAAGACGATGTACTCACTGCTTTGTTTCTAGAGTTCCAGATAATTTATTTGTAATAGAAAAACCTGTTCTTGGCCGATGGAGCTCGGACAAGAAACAATGGAGACAAGACGGTTATATTGATTATCAATATATGCCAGGTATTTACATTTGTACAGAGACCAGTTGATATAAATACGCTGAACTCTAACGACTGTACTTGCATACGAATGCCTGTCTAAATACTCTCACACGTTTTGCCCAAACTTCCTAGGATTTTTCGCAAGTAAATCCAGTACTTGACAACTTTCTTGTCAACTATTTGGCTAAGAATTCGCTCAAGAAATCCGTAAGTATTTGTAAGTGCTCTAACAAGTAAATCAAGTATCTGACAAGTACTTCATATACTTTGACAATTATCAAGTACCATTTTATAAAAGAACTTACTCAGTGCTTGTCAAATACTCACAGAAATTCATAAATAAATAATAAGTAATCGGTTGCAAATTCATTCACTAGGAAAGATATCATAAAATAAATCTCTTACATATAAGATGCTGAATTAATAGAAAAATTCTCCCTTTAAGATACTCGTATGATATCATTTAAAACGTATGATTTTGGCACCTATGCTCTGTTGAATGATCGCCATGCTCACATGCCCTTTCACTCATGGAAAATGTACCCGAAAGGGATCGATCATGTCAATTTTACACTATACACACAAACATTTGAAATAACATTTGAAATTAAGGTAAGAGAACTGACTTAAAAACATCCATCATCCATCTAATGTGTAATGTTGAAGCAAATGTATTTTCACGAAACAATTGTACATATTCGTTATAAATACTATCAAATTTCTTAGATTTACCATAATATTACAATATGTGTCCGATCTATCATGTTTTGTATAATCAAATAGTTTATTTACTGATCTGATATACGTGAATTTTTCTATGTATGCTATTGCTTAAAATCTACTTTCTTGTACTAGTCTAATGCATAAATCAAATTACTCATAGATCTTTAACTATGCTATGAAATGCTCAAAATACAAACAGCAGTAATATAACTTTGACATAAACTGTTCTATTTTATTTAATAACGGTTTCATGTAGTATAGACATGTTAATTATGTTTCATACCATTATTACCCAATATAAAATACTTATGTGTGAAATATGAACAAAGTAATAAAAAGTCTTAATAAAAAAACCAACAATATGAACAAACAAAATATAAAACTCATATAATAAACGGAAAAAGCAATTGATCTCTTCTATTCTACTTTTTTTTCAAGGGTGAATCTCCTCCTTCTTTAAAAACTGAACTAAGATCACAAAAGAATAAGCCTGGTCTCGTACTATTCAACGTTGTTTCAATCCATTGGTCTCGAGATTTTGCTGTTTTCGGTGTTGTTTGCTGAGATCTGGTTTCCGATGACTTTGTTGTTTGAGAAGAGGTTGTTACCATTTTAGGTGGTGGTTTTTGCTGCTCTTGTGGTGCACTTTGCGTGTGATTATCTGTCGTCAGCGTACGTTCAGTATTTGTTTCAGTGGTACGATATTCTCTTATCGGCGATATAAGAATAGTTGTGGGAGATGTTGTTGTCGAAGTAGCGGACGATGGTTCAGACAGCGATGGGGTTGATGTTACACCAGCGATCACAGGTGTCGTGGGAGTTGTAGAAAATGTTATTTTTTTAACTGTTTGAATACTGACTTGAAGGCCAACATCACGTGTGGCTAAGCGAGACTTTGTCGATTTACGAGAACTTGTACCACCTGTAGCTGTCAGGCTATCGGATGATACTTGCATATCAATATTACTGTTATCGTCGAAGGGTGGAAATGTTAATGATGTTTGAAATGGAGTATCACGTTTTTCAACAAAATTATTCGTAGGAGACTTAGACGAATGATGATGATGATGATGATGAGAACCAGTTTCCAACAGCTATAAAACAGAATAACAATATATTTGCAAATATCATCTAGTTTAATGACAATTTTTAATCAAGATCGTCAACATCAGAGATATTGGATTAAAAATACCTCGTTTATAATACATACCGTTGTTGATGGTTTTTGAATCTGTTGTTGGGATGGCTGGGATGATATTGTACTGCCTATAGAATAGAGTGTCGTTGGATCTGGTTGAGGGATTATAATCGATTGATTTTCTAAATCCACAAATGAACTAAATGTCGCCATAGTCCATGTGAGTTGTGTCTGTGATGCACAGGATTTTTTTGCTGTTAACATTGAGTCTAAATCAACCGTTTGGCTACGAGATAAAGAACGAGTAAAATTAGCTGTGGACTGTGGTCTCTGTTTAATGTTATACTCAGTCGACGGAAGATTATTTAATGATTTATTGGTTGCTGATTGTGGATAGACAATATTATCGTACAACGATTGAGTATTAGCATAATACGGTTCCGTTGAACTATGGTCAAGGATTACGGGAAATTGAGCATAATTTTCTCCAGATGCTTGATTTCTTAAAGTTCTCGCTTCAACTGGATCATTTTGATACGGATGAGATGTGGGAGAATAAGATCGTGTTGGTTGTTGTTCATTTTGAGGTTGAATTCGTCTGGGTGCTTTGATATTTGTTGAATTATCGAACGATTGTATTACCGAACGACAATCGGATAGTTTTCCGTAAGCATGATTATTGTTTTCTCTGTCATCTGCCATTATATCCACTGATGCTCTTAAACGGCTATTTATACTGCTTAGCGTACTACTATTCGACGGCGGAACTATATGATGTTCATTATAGTTTGTTTTTGTATAACTTATATCGTCAGGAGCGTATGGTGGTCGTAAATTATAAGAAGGTGTAGAATAATGCACAACAGGTACTTGACGATAATATTGCGGATGAAAAGAAGTTGATGATGAATAATGCTGTGACAATGGAAGTGGTGGTGGAAGATGTTTAACCTGAAATTAATGGAAAGAAACTTTGTTCATTCAAGGTTTTTGATTATTCAGTATGATAATTCTGTACCTGAATACTTGGTTGAATATGATCTATCTGACTTTTTCTTGTTATCGAAGACTGCGATGAATAATAATAACGTTGATTATTATTTTCGTATAATGGCACTAATTGTTGATGATAAACAGTTGTATTTAAATTTCGATTATAATGATCGATTGTTGGATGACATTGTATATTGGCTACATGTGGTTGTTGATCGCAATATTGTGGTGGTGGAATGTAATCATCATGCTCTTCATAACGTAATTCTCGTCTGCTACGATTATTCGATGTTATACGATCAACGGATTTACTTAAATAATGTTGATTGTGTACAACGGTCGATGGTGTAGTAGTTGTTGTACGTTGTGTCGAACGAAGAGTACCCGATGACGGTTGTGAATATCGACGAGGATCCGACTTATCACGATAGGTTACTGTTGAATTTGTATGTAATCTATCACCTGAATTATTATTTTGACCGTTATTAACTTTTAAGCGAGTAAGTATACGTTGTTCTTGACGCTGTGGTGATAATTGATCATCAGATGAACGCGTCGAAGAATCAACAGTAAATGTAGAAGTGGTTGGAAGCTTCTTCTGAAATAAACAATAAAAATAATGTTTTGAAACGAGAAAAAGTTCTCACGTTACACTCTCTACTAGAAGCTTTACTTATTCATCATAAAAATAATCGTTTAACTATTCAGATATACATATTAACAATTTGGCGCCCATTCCCATTTTTTTTTTTTTTGTTATCAAAAGAGAAAACCGTAGTTCGATACGTATACATTGTGATCTTCAACGTTTCTTCTTTTTATTTGTTCTTATAATCGAAACAAAATAGCTAAGACGATGCCATTTATTAAATGTCTTTTTTTAAACTTTTTTCCCGCTTAACCTATTCTTTGTTGTGTTGCTGATTTGATTTGTATAGTCTTTATATCAAATTTTTTTTTTGTTGTTGCTATCAAAAAATTCAAATTAAAAATTCGTTATTTCTGCTTGACGAAATATTTTCTTTTCGATTCCTTTTGTCTCACTCACTACTATCGTTACTTCATTTGTTGGACGATAATCATACATACACACACACACACACACACACACATGCAATGAGTACGCAATGTTTCGGAGGATTCATTCTGTTTTTTCAACTCGTCATTCATCAGGGCTTCTCTTTGTATATTCATTAATTTATAGTAGACATGAAACATTGCATGTATGATTTAGCTGTGAAAAATATCATGGCTGTTTTTTTCATTGTCTAAGAATTATATTCGTACTGCTAGTTAGTCTCACTAATAAATTTTGATTTTAAGTGCGAAAAGTACAAGTTATCTAAATAGATCCTTACTTTGAAAAAGACATTGTTTGTAGGTTTTTTTTTAAACAAGATACAGTCAGAAGAGATAAATGTTTTGCATATCGTATATTAATGGCTAACATTAGTTCGCTCTGTTCTGTTAATAGGTTTATAGAAAATTAGGCGTACTTTTCCATCTGGTATGCATCTTATAATAAAGAATAACTATAAAAAAAAAAAAATAACTTTTTTTTTTTTCTCTAATTATTCGTGTGCTTTGATGAATAAAAATGTTTTCATGACAAATGTAAGAACTTACTCATGTAAAATGGATATGTTAGTAAATCGATACTTTGTAGTGTTAAAAAATAATCTGTAACTAAATGTACCCCTTATATCGCTATCATAAGCTGACATAGACTGTTTACTTTACTTCTTTTAATCTCTTTACTTTGATGCAGACCAGTTCATCATTTCTTTAAACATTATTTAATTACTAAATAAAATAAAGAGCGAACAATACCATATTGTATAGTTAATTAACGTCACTCTTTTTCTCTTTCTCTGGTTAATCTCATTATTGTTGTTTTTCTTACCGACACCTAGTCCATTGCTTTGTTCTTCTATCATTGTCAAAAATATCTTTTTATCTCTCAAGGGATAACTGTACATAGATATACATATACTGATACACATATACATACATATATATGTCTTCACATAAAATTAACGAAAAAGCCTTCATTAATGCATATCAATTACCTGTTGAAATCAAAAATAAGCGGTTTTTTAAAGATGCATATAAATCACTTAATAAAAGAAACGTAGCGATGATGAACTATATACGCAGGTATCAATACACAAAGTGAGCACACAACGGCTTCTTTCTTCTCTTTTTCTATGAACTCTCACATACTCCCATTATACATTTATTTAATTTTAATAACATTTCAACATGTCATGGGAGAGTCTCGTGTATTTTGTTTTTCTACTCATAGTTTATGTGTCCTTTTACTATTTTCTACTCAATACTGTATATATCTATCGTCGTTCTTTTACCATGATGGAATAAACATATATATACACGCTACAGAACGAAAAGGTAGCAGGCGGAGTGAATTTAGATGTGTATGATGAGAAATTTTTTTCCTTTTCCTTCTTTTTTTCTTCTTCTTTTCTTTGTAAGCTTAAAAAAAAAAATCACTTAACGATTTAGTGTGGTCGCCAACTTTCTTCCTTTTGACATATAATGTATATATATATATATATATATATATGTAGGCTATGATCTACAATAAGTGCAAGAACAACAACAAGTAGTACGACTAGCCCCGATTAATAATAATAGGCACTTCCCATAACAATATTCTGCTTTAGTGATTAGATAGAGAAGAGAGAGAGAGAGAGAGAAAGATTATTCACGAATTGAACATATACAACAATATGTCATCAGCAGATTATAGTGAAATATTATTAAAGCTTATTCGAGTACTTCCTCAAAAAGATATTTGTTTCAAAGCAAATGACGAGATTATAAAATATCGGAAAAGAGAAGAGATGATACTTAAAAATGACTATCTATTTTTTCTAAATATTTTCTAAAATTCTAGATTTCCTTTGAAAAGATAACAAATATTTTAGTAAGAATCTTTTATTACCAAAAACATTTAGTGATTCACAGTAATTATTTATAGAAAATTTAAAAGCGCTTCACTATACTAATTAAAAACTATTGTCATAATAAATAATCAACATTCAAACAGTCAAAGTTGTACCCTAGACAACATCTCGAAATTTTAGATAGAAAAATTCTTATATATGAAAGAAGATAGGAATAAAAAAACAGACACACTATGCTTGAAACCAAACTCACGCTTGCCTGATTGGTTGAATGTCCGGAGATTTTTTAAACTTTTTTTTTTTTTTTGATAGTTCTATGAATTATGTACTTAAATTATACACGTGCGTATATAAAACTTTCTAATAATCATGTTATATCAGCAAACAAAAAAAAATATATATATATCAAAGGAAAGAAAAAGAGAATCAATAAAAAAAACAAATTTTATTCGAAAAAAATGTATAGTTATTTATTTTTTTATTGCTTCGAGCATCTTATAAATTGAACGGTTTTAGTTGCTAAATTTTTTTTTTATTTTTATTTTTTTTATTTCTCTTTTTTCTTTTGTCTGAAGGTTATCTTGACTACTATTACTTCTACTACTGCTAGCAGCAGCATAAGAGCAAGAAGGAAACAAGAAAAACAAGTTGAGAAAAGTCGCAAAAAAAGAAAAAAAAAATGAATGAAAAGATGGAGAAAATAATAGAGCAAAAAACTGCAATACACAGACATATATATATATATATATATATATAGATACAGAGAAAGAGAGAGAGACTGGTGATTCTTATTTGCTTATTTTATCGGTTTGTTTTGTCAACGTAGCTGACATAATAAATTTTCTTTTTTTTCTCTATTTTTACATTTATCTCCCTTCATATAATAAATAGAACATATCGTAAAATTAGATAATGTTGTATCGTATATGTAGGCATTTACAATGAATTGACTTTTTATGAGTGTGCGCGAATCTTTAGTGTGAAAGAACACCAGAAAGGAAATGTCTTTTTGTCTCTACAAACAGATGATAAATATATACAGAATTTTTAAATGTACAACAAAAAAAAAAAGAAAATTACAGAGAAAAAAACGATTGACAAATGAAGTCTCAATGAATGAAATAATCTCCACTTAAAAAAGCTCTTTAAAAATTCAACTGTTATCAGAATATTTTCATAAAAAGTATTTGTTATATCATAATATCTATGTATATATGTATGTTTAAGAAATAAGAAGAAATATAGCACTGACAAACTTACACACTTTTTGTTATCATTCATTCACTAAAAAGTCAATTTAGATGTTTTAACTTGACGTTTTTTATAAATATAAACGCTCTTTATTACATTGATAAATACAAAAAAAAACGAACTGTTGCCACGTGATACACAGAATTACTCCGTACAGAAGAAGTTGTTTGAGCAACGTGGCTCAATCGGTTGGTGAGCAAATAACGTACTTCAAACATACAGAGTTCGAATTCTCGACAACGGTGTCTTGGACAAACTATCTAATACTCATTGTCTCGGTACCTTTAGGCACAAATGCAATGAGATAACCTGATTTTAGTGACTATTGGACTGGAAAGATGACAATTAATGTTTAAAAAGAAAAAAACAAAGAAGTTGTTTCGTTTTTACTCAATGAATCAAAACATCTGTAGAAAGAATTGAATGACCGATTAAGTCAATTATTTTGTGTTTACATTGACGACGCTTTTTTAACACAATCTATGTACAAAACAAAAAGAAAAAAGAAGAAAAGATTACAATACATCAATATTTCTCTCTCACATCACATTGCAATGATAAGGATAATCACTAAGACGTAGAAAAATAAATTGAGATTTTATTTTGACTTTGTGCACTTATGTGACATGAATATATATAATATAATTTGTATCTTTTTCACCTTTATTCTTTTATAATTTTAGGATGAAAAAAAGAAGAAAGAGAAGAAGAGTATATTAACTATACTAAGTATCTTTCTCTTTCTATCTCAACCATAATTTTTTATTTATTAAAGTATACATATTATTTGATTTTTTTATGATGTCTACGCGTAACTGTGTAATTATTCAACTAATGATTTTTTTGTACTGATAGAAATGAGAAATAGTGTTATGAAAAATTGACAGTAGGAAAAAAACAAGGATAAACATCATCATGGCTGTCGTCGCAAGCTAACTACTAGTCAAAACAATTAATTACAGTGAGAATATTTTTTTATAAATTACAAAATTTGACATTTAACTAGTTCCTTTGACTTACTTAATCTATTTCGTACGTGGTACAATACAAGTGATAATAACTTTTTGTATGTTTATGATTAATCATACTGTAAAGAAATTGTACAAAACTGTAAATTAACCAATTGCATAATTTTGTCATATCTATCTACACAACATGTCAAATTTATTTTTTCTGTAGAAAACGACACTTTTTAGTCTATTAAAAGGAGACAGAAAAGAATAATAATGGAAAGCAATCTTAGAATCTAAAAATAAGTGAGAATTGTTATTACTAGATATCTCTTTTAAAGAATATAATAATTGGATTTTGAGTTATTATTTCAATTTGATACGGAAAAACAGTGGATACTTTAAAAAAAAAATTTCTCGTTTATCCATTCAAACTAAGATCTCAATGTTGTAAAGAATGAATTATACAAAATACATTTGTATATGCTTTTTATGAGCTATCGTGCATGAAAATGAGCAATAGCGTATCTGAAATCGCCATCATAGTGAAGATAAATACTCTCTTATACTTAAACAAACATCATTTGTATAGTAACAATAGTAGAGAAATCAATGCTAGCAGTATTTATTATCTGTCTGTATTTCGTTGTACATATATGTACTTATATTAGTAGTGATGCTCATCGAAAAAAAAAAAAAAAAAGAAAAAATGGCATCGAGAAAAAAATATTTATAAGAAACGTTTGTTTATCATTTGCCATCTATTATTATTTGCTGTGCAATGTAAATACAAAACAGTTCTGACAAGGCTAACAAGAGTTGAATGTTGTACACGTATAAGAACAATAAAACATTTGCTTATTACTCAGATTTCGATATGTAAAAGAATTATCACCTCTTGAAAGGCAGATTGATAACCTTTTTGAATGGTCTTCTTAAAACTAGTACTCGACATGGTTCAATAAAAATTTCGTTATCTTCTCTCAAAAAATGGTTTTTTCTTTTCCAAAATTTTATGTTAACATGTCAGATTTTAATATAAGTCTTCTTTTCACAACTTACCTTAGAAAAAATAACGATGTACAGCCAGGGTTCTTGTTTGTAAATGGCTGTAGAAAATAATATTGTTTTGTCCTTGTAATTTTTTTCAAGATATAATGAAAAGAGCCGTGTGCTATTATAAGTATTAATCATTAATGCACTTCTTTTTATAGATGTTTCTGTTTTTACTATCAAGTATTGTTAAAGTAGCAACTAATTTGATTCCTCTTTTATGAGTAGACGTTTTTTTTATATGATATATTTGATTCTGAATATATTTGAAGATGAAGAGTGTACAAAATGATCCTCTCTTCTTTTTCAACACGTTTGTTATTCCAAATAAAATGCATCATAATAGTTAAATTAATAAGCTCTGCCCTAAAACCTGATTGCATCCGTCTGATATATAGTTGATAATTAGACGTATGTCGAAGACTTTCTCCTTCTAAATTCGACATAATTCCTGATAAAATTTTCTTAAAATACTCTCTACTAAAAATTTACGCTTGATGATCAAAAATTAAACATGAAATTTTTTTCACTACATTTTGCAAAAATTTTCATCCTTGACCACAACTTAGATCTGGCGCCACTAGATGTCACTCAGCTACACATTTCGAACAAGAAACGTTCGTTCTACTCTAATTATCAACTACTCTGTTATAATGGTTTGTGTGACAATTTTCGCAGCTGTTCTGATGATATTTGTACATTATAAGTCATCTGACACTCTAGATGGTTATCATACAGAGACACACTGACAGATATATTTCATAATTTGACTTGTACATACCTTTTCATCTGGATCTCCGTTTCCACGTTTCGAAATGTCATTCTCTGATTTGGTTCGTACACGTTTCTAAAAGCAAGAAAAATAATGAAAATATTAATTACGCTTTATTTTACATAAAAGTAAACATGAGACAGACGAAAAACATTACTGAACAAGATCGACTTTAAACTTTGATTATCAATCAATACTAATCGTAAAATAGTATATTCACCGAATCAAGAAATTTTTAAAGGTTTTTTCGATCAAAATCAATTGCAGATTCAGACTCTTCATAGGTCTTTGTGATTAATTCCTTTCAGATACTTTGTAAAAGATTATTAAGAAAAACATTGAAGAAAATTTGTTCAAGAGTTTCTAGATTCAAAACTTTCTTGCATGCAAGATAATTAACTATAGAGAGTCTGAATCTGCAATCGATTTTGATCGAAGAAGATTTCAAAATTTTCGATTAAGTTGATAAATATAGCGTGATTAAACATGTATCAATCTCAGACCAAATCTAGAATGATTTTAACAAAAAACTACTATTGTAAACTAATCCAATATGCCACGGATTTCATTCAATGATATACAATTAATACTGTATACACGCGTATAAAACGATAGAAAGGAAATAATGTTTCTTTTTATTGCATATAAACGCTTAAACTTTCTCTTAAACTACACGACAAAATATATGATAAAAAGAACGAGAAAGAGTTTTCTACTCGGTACTACCAAAAGAGATTAAGAAAACAATCAATACCAAATAAGAATAAAATAAATCTCAATCCTGAGTCTTATCGATTTAAATTTAGAATGGATACATGTCTAATCGTTATACAGTATGATATTCATAACAATTAAATATTCGTTGAACTAAATAAAGTAGAATATTTGTTTGATGGAAGAATACTTTAAAAAATCTTGTTGACTATATTTTGAACAATATGATGTATGGTTTATAGTTTTGTTTGATAATTTAGCATGAAGAAGAAATTAGTTCTAAGAGCCTTGATAAGAGCAGATGTTGTAAATGTCACTACAGAAATGAATCGTTTTTTATACTGTCTGTTGGCTAGATTAATATATAAGACGACAATAAATAAAACTGAAAACGATAGAATTACTAGTAAATGTATCATTGTTGGTGCAGTTTAATAAATAATAAAGTAATAAATGACAAATTAATAGTATAGTAAAATGTTCATCCTATTCAACAAGAAATAGTTTTTAAGTAGAGAGTAAAAACTTAATGTTTTATGAGCACTCATTTAACTTTAGAACGTTCTGTGATTATGGCTCATGTTTTTTCGACATTTCTAATCAAAATGATATTTTTCGTAGGAAAAATAATTGTTCGACTTTTTAAGAACTAAACTAATTTTTAACATCTCGAATAATTAACAGTATTTCAATTTCTTAGAATTATCAACATCAGACTTTAATTACTGTTATGATGTTAGAATAGAGAAAAATGAATTTAATAAAAGATTATTCATATGTTTAAAAGTTTATAATGATTTTTAAGATTTTTATTAAGATTGTGATTAATTGGTGCTATTAGCCATTAATGAACCTTCATTACAGACATACGTGAACTATCGTAATTTGTTATTTATTGATGCAGAAATAAGAGAATAAATGATAAGTTTTAACAGGTCTTATCCACATCGGTTTATTTTTTAGATGCTTGTCTGATTACTCTATTTTTTGAATCACACACACACTTGAAAAGTAGAAAACGGAACTAGAAAATGAAAATATTTTATGATACGTCGTCGTTATTTTTCCCTTTTATTTCCAATGTATAATAAATAATAATTTATGAACTCATCTAGTTCATAAGAGCACTTTTTGTATCCGATTTTTTTCTCACTATTTAAAATGATACACACACATATATACACATATACACACACACACATATATATATCTATATATATATATGAAGCAATAGATCTTGACTATGTTTATTAAAGCACTGATAAAAAAGCACTTTATTTCAATAGGGACTATGTTTTGTACTTCTAAGAAATCGGTGTATTTTTTGACTATTCTGTCCTTTGTGACATCTGGCTCACAGACTACCTTTTAGAAAAGATAACGCTATTTTGAATAAAAAAAAAGATCACATCCAGTTTAAAAAAAAAAAAAAAGATTTCATGACCTTGTTTATTTTCTGTATATTTTTAATAGGTTAAAAAATGTTCTATCATCTTTTCTTCTTTGATCCATGTGGTAATGATAGAAGAACTGACTATAGTACAAAAGAACAGTGTCTATTAATTGTTAACGACTTGTCGTATAAGATTACAAAAAACTGCGCGTTAATATTTAGAGACATATTGTTCATAAAACTGTAGCAAATAATGACGATAAATAACACAAAAATCTAAAAGATGAGTACTAAAATCTAATTCTATATTTATCGACAGCTGATATTTAGAGACTATTTTAAATGTTTTCAATGATAGAAGATATTATATCTATAAAAGTCTAGTTTTTCAACATCAAACGTTTAGATTAGGTCTAGTCATCTATAATTTTAAGATTTAAAATAGCATTACGTTTAGACAATGAGAAAATTGAAAATGTAGAACAATTATAATTCTAAAAAAAAGAAAATCATTATGATTACAAAATAATTGACTTACTTTAACTTTAAATAATTTCATTTGACCAATGGATAAATGATGAACAAATAAACTTGTATAATGTGTCTGTTAACATGTACGTTAATTACAATTATAATTATAAATCCTTTTTTTTTTCTTTTTTTTCTATATAAAAGATGAAAATGTACGTATATTATTATTTTATTTTGATTACTTGTAATTATTATTATGTTGTTGTTGCTGTTGTCTTCTTCTTTTTTCTTCTACACCGATGATTATGCATGCGATAGATCATCAATATTACGTGCATCGTAGAGAATGAGAAGAAGAAACAAACGAACGCGACGTTTCCCTATCGTACAGATATGAGAAAAGATTTCTTTCTCTTTCTTATTTCTTCTCTACTCCAACCTCTTTGTACAAGAACATCGAACATTGATAAAAAAACCTACAATTTCACTTTTTTCTTTGCTT